AAGTGGGGAAGGTGGGAGATTGTAAGTCTTTCACATGTGCTAGCACAGCTGAGATATTTACACAACTGATTTATGATTCTTTATAAATGCATATATATGTATACGTATATATGCTTGCATGTATTTTGGTAGAACACTTTCCTTTAAATTTGAGCAAACAGAGTGCACATTGGGTTTGCATTATTTCAAAAAGCTCTGTGTATGAACCCTACAACCAGGTGGGATTTTCAATTAGTATTTGCGCCTCTTACCTGTGCAATATTATTAGCTGTGTAAAAAAAAAGAAAAAAGTTAATAAAATAATGGAATTACAACTTGCTGTATCAGTGTTACATGTTTCAACTACTGCATACATTGGAGCTTTTAATATTGTTAAAGTTGTTGATGTATTGGGCACTTTAAAACCTTTGCAGAACATCCCAGTCCTTTTTCAAAATATTCAGTTGTGTGTTTGTGTACTGTTTTCTATTTGCTGTTTGAACATAATGCTCTACATTGCGCACGCATTAGTGTTTTGTCTGCATCATGCTGGTTTTTCTGTTATTTACTTATTTCATTTTTATTCCCACTATCATCAAATGGTAGTGCTGTATATTCTGCAATTAATATCAAATAAACGGCTTTGATTCATTCTCATTAATAGATGTTGTGCACTGTGTGTTATTATGGAGAAGCTACCATGTCACACCTCCCCTCTCAACATCAACTGCCAACTACCAAAACCAGTATCACATGGTGAACAGAAAACAGTGTAATAAACTTTGGCCTGAGATATAGTTGCCATAATATTAATATTAATAACAATGAAGAAGAATGATAGTGGTCATGTTTTTATTATATTGCACCTTTAACGTTAAACATACCCAGACACAGAATACAGTTAAACACACACACATTCATCATGACTTTAAAATGAAAGATGTATCAGTCAGGATGCAAGTGTAAAACAGTGTATTATAACAAGCGAGATTTAAAGGGAGCACTAGAACGGTGTGGTGGGTCTGTGGCTAAGGATCTGCACCTGTGGCTGGAAGGTTGCCGGTTTGTATCCTGCAGCCGGCAGATAAATCCTACTCCGTTGGGCCCGTGAGCAAGGCCCTTAACCCCAGCTGCTCCAGGGGAGCTGTATAAATGGCTGACCCTGCGCTCTGACCCCAAGCTTCTCTCTCCCTGTCCGTGTGTCTCATGGAGAGCAAGCTGGGGTATGTGAAAAGACAAATTCCTAATACAAGAAATTGTATATGGCCAATAAAGTGATCTTATCTTAACTGCAAGATGTAACTGTAACTGGGAGCTCATTCCACAGCCTTGGAGCAATGGTCTACAATGCAGTCTCCTAAAGTCAGGCATCTTGTAGTGGGAACAGCAAAAAGAACAGAGTCTAGAGAATGCTGGCAGCACGCAGGTGCATATATACTGTAGATAGTAAGATCCTAATGCAATCTAGAGCGAATCCATTCTGGGCCTTCAAAGTAAGCAATAACACAGAGACATTTTCTCTGGATTCCACAGGAAACCATTGCAAGGAAGCCAAAATAACATTCCTCCTCACTCGCTCCCTCTCTCGAGTAGAATTTGGCTCATTAGGTTTGGTTCTAGTTGAAACCTAGGCAGCTGAGATTTGAGTACAGGTACAGATACACCAGCAACAGAGGTAATTCCAAAGTCAATCCTGGAAGAGACACCAGTATGCATCTGACTGGGATACACACAAGCGGACAGGAGGAAGATTCTAAAGGTGATAAAATACACTTTCACATCATTGTGATAACACATCAATTTCCCTACGGGATCAATAAAGTCTTATCTATCTATCATTGCAAGCATGGCACACAGAGTACAGTACCACCAGGAGGATCAAACTGGACTCCTGGAGAGCCCAGCCCTAATAAATGTATTTCATAACTACACTGAATTGTGCTCTGATTTCTCGCATTCCCTTCAAATGAAAGATTGCTGAATGACAAGCCTGCTTTTTTCTCACGTGATCAAAGCTACCTGTATAATATCAACAGCTGATGCTGTTATAATTCAGTAGAGTGTTGTTGCTCATAAAATACCTGTAATGCCCCTCCGCCTTGTTTCCAAGACTTTTGCACAGTGGTAAAGTTGTGTGGAATCTAAAAAAAATGCTTCATCTAATGGCTGTCTTAAGACTGATTGGCATTTGTCTCTCACAGAGCCAAAAGACATCCTTTATCCCACTTACACCTTTCTCATTCCAAAGCCGCACCAGGCCATAAAAATGCTTTGAGACCTTTATTAGTCAGGTGCCATTTGATTTCTATCAAACCCACATAAGACTCTGACTGACCAATCACTTTGTTCCATTTTTGGTTTCTACAGCAACCACCCATCCACCACAGACTAATTCATCGATATTTTACTTTCCATCACCCTAGAAGGCAGATCAGAGACCAGGGAAGATAAGAATGTGTGGTTTTAAATTATTTCTTCAGAATGCTTTGCAGTCTTTGTGTAGCGAACTGTCAGTCAAATACCAAAGGGACAATGCTATGATGATAAATTCTTTCTTAAATTGCTTCATGCTGCAAACAGCACATAAATGTTAGGTTTATTTTTTTGATCAGAAGAAATGAACAGATACTTTTGGGGCCTGTTTAGTCAAGTGTAGAGCAAGGTGAGTTAAAATACAGTTAGTCTCACTGAAATCATACTACTCAACAACATTTCTCTGGTGGTCAAATAAAATAGTGCTCACTCATCATCAACTATTGTTGGAGCCACAAACCTAGTTTTTCTTTAAATTTCATTTGTTTCTGCACTTTATAAGCTCAGAAACGAAAATGCTCCTTTCTAATCATACCAGAAGTTGATACAAATAAAACATCTTTGATATTTGTATAACAAAGAAGTTGAGTGCATTTTTCCTATAAGAAAGACATTTCATAGAAGGTTAAGAATATATACAAATGCATTTTGTTCAGACTTTATTTTCCTTTGCAATCTGTGAAGAGTATTTTCTTATCTACTTACTATTAATACTAATTTGGATAGAACATAACACTTTTGTCTGGTTCTATATTCAAAATTAAAAAGAAAGATTAACAAAACTTTCACCTTTTGAAGACTGAAAACTCTGAAACTAGCATTTCCTAAAAAAACTACCATGCCTGGTTTTCCAATGAAATATATCATTGCACCAAAAATTAATGCTACACATTGATGATACGATTGTCAGTGGTTCACCTTAAAATGGAAAAATGTAACTTACTTTTAATACTTTCACTTTTAAAAACAGTGAAACATTTTTGGACCTTAAAACTCATTAATAGGAAGAAACTAAATACAACTAGCATGTTAAAACAAAAAGTGTTTCAGTTTAATTACAGTATGCACCATTTTTTTTGCCATAACTGGACAAGATAGGAACTCAGAGGGTGTGAACGGCAATGAGTACAGTAACACAAGTATTAATTTCTCTTCAACCGCTCAGGCCTAGAGATGTAGCCCAGCCCTTCCAATCCACTGTGGTAATGTATAATTACAAGCACTACAGCTTAAGTGCCCATTTAGGGCTTCTGCCCAAATGTGATATGATCGCCATAAAAGGTTTAATGATGCATCAAAAGAGGGTGATGTTCACAGACTTCAGACCATTGTTAAAGATGGCAGGAGTTACACATGGCGTGCTCTTCAAAAGAACAACTGATTATTGTTTCTCCCTCAATACCACCACACAAAACACCAGAGTTCGGCTGGAGGTGCTTCCATAACTTTTTTATCAGAAACCATCAGAAGTGCACTTTCACACTCCCTAGGATTTCTGAAAGAATGGTGCCATATCATTTTGTTATCCACCTAAGTTTTGTGCAACTGAACAAAGTAGCTTTCCATAGAATTTAAGAACAATCTCTCTGATGTTTCTAATTTCTTGTCAAAAGCTGTAAAACAACCCACAGATCATTAATTGAAGAACGTCTGGCTACAACAGATCAGGGGAACCCAGATAACTCCATTCTCCTCCATTGCAGGAGTTCTATCCTACCAGACCTGTATTTACTTCATGAACATTGCTGCTGAAGATCCCTTAACCAAGCGGTGATTGGTTAAAGCAAAAACTGAAGGATGGAAGGTAAAAGTTTTCCTGAAGTTCTCTCTTAGGATTCAGAAGTCCCTCTTCACTAGTGATTGTCTATCATTAATGGATGTATCTTGAATATGCTTTTTACTATTAAGAAATACCTAATATATAAAATAATATGTGAGAGATCAAATACACCCTCCATGAAATCAGTTTATGACCGCTGATATAGAGTGAATAAAACTGCTCCACCTTTTCTACTCATTTCCATATACCATGACTCACGTCAAGGCAGGGGTAAGTTGATTATACTCCCTTTAAGGAATAAGGTAACATTTAACAACTCGAATCCTAATCTTATGACCTGCAGGCTACAACATAACAAAATTCTCTGAAACTGGGTCTGCGTGTTATGAGGGACCATTGCAGATGTGCTGACCAGGGGCATAGCCAGGATTTTATACTGTATTTGACACCCATGGGAGTGGCACCTTTAAAAGACATTATTTGCCTTCTGAAATGGGTTGTACTACTGAGAGGTGTCCCGCTGTTCTCCTCTCCACCAGTTACACCCGTGAGCCCTGTTTCCCAGCGCCTTCACCGAGCTGCCTGGGAGCGATCTCCAGCGTACCGCCGCTTCTCTGCCCACAGTGCCTCTACAGCTCAGGCCACGCGCGTACTCTTACAGACGCGTTTGAGATGCTTCAGAATCGTTTGTTTCCCTTTTCTTTTGCTGGTGAAATTGAGACACTATGGGGTTTTAGGTGCTAAAATAAAAATGGGGTGGCAGCTGGCACCCTGTGTTGCCCCTCTGTCTACGCGTCTGGTGCCGGCCTGTGTTTCTGCCCAGGTGTGAGAAACACACACCCCTGCTCTGAACACCCGTCACCGTTCAGCTGTGGTGGCCAACAGACTACCGTTTTACGACCCCCGAAAGAAATATTAAAAAGACAGATGAGGGTTTAAAATTGCAATTAAATATTTATTTGACAACGACACTGAGAAAAAACATCATGATTCTGTTTACAGTGCATACTACTGCATAATCTTGCACCACACATTTTTAATGACAAATCCTCTCCGTTCACAACACTGTCAAGTGCAAACCTACTTTTGTCCTGAGCAGTTCCAACACTGTTTCTGAGGAGTGATGTAAACCTCAAACACATCACTTTACCCACAGAGAGAGCAATATCATAGGCCGAGGAAGTTCTTCTTCATTCGGATTTCCTTAAGAATATCTTCTGCTAGCTTGCTCCAGTGGTCGATCTCTACTTTTGAAATAGAATACATTCTTCATGAGATAAACAACAATTATTCTTACATTTAGAAAAGTTCAAGTCTAAGTCTAGGTAACATTCGGTTACTGTACACCTAGTGTAGACGGCTGTTGTAGATGCATCATATGCAAAACATTTTAAAATGGAAGGCCTTTATGAACAAAGTCTCCATTTTTGTTTTTAAAAACTAAACCAGGAACTGTGTTTGAATTCGGCTGCATTAGTGGGATCATCAGTTTTTAGTGCAGGAAAAAGTCAAATGGAACAGATCATTTCTTGATAGGGATTTTGAAAATCAGAATGACAGACACTTTTTTTTAGCTCTTCAATCTGTTTTATTCCTAATTTCTCCCTAGTCTGGATTCTCATTCTCTATCTGGCGTTTCAATCTTTCCTCCTCCTGCCCTCAGTCCCTCATCCCCTCACTCCTTGCCTTCCTTCTCGGCACATGGCAGGGAAATCAATTGAAGTGCTTTCAATTCGAGGTCACACAGTGCCACACAACAGCCTCCCTCACTTTTCAATTACCAGGAAGAGCAGCGGCTCACAGGTCAACATCTTTAACTTCCCAGATTCCCTGTCACAGCCTGACCAACTCCTGGCTATGAGCACGTTCACAGTCAGGGCTTACTGGGACCGAGACAACCAATTTCACCCAACGTAATCGACAACAGCTTCATCAATGGATGCTTTTATCAGGGAAAAAAAAAAAAGAAAAAGGAGAAAGTATCTGAAAGCGTGATACGCTTGCTTGATAACATGAACAACGGAGGATTTTTTTTTTGGCAACGGAAGACTTGAAAAGGCCAATCGGCCTTTTTGTTTTTGATTCACCACAAAAAAAGGATGTTGGAAAGTTTCAAAGTGACTCAAACATTAATGGTGCAATCTGAGCTCTGCGCTCTGCAAATATGTGGATGAAGCGTGTGCGACGTCTCAATCCTGGCTGGGGATTCTCCAAGTGGAAGTGGGCTGACCGCCATCATGTTGGGTGGCTCCCTGTCAGCCAAGATACACCCGTTGGTTCATGACAAGAGGACTTGATGGGTGCCTGCAAGCTGAATCCTGCGTTGGCTTGATGCGAGCTGCGCCACTTCTCCTTCCATGCTAACTGTCCACAAGGGGGCAGCAGTGCGGAGCAGTGGTTAGAGTCGAAACTGGAAGGTTGTGGCTTCCAACTGCCAGGCGAGAGTCCTCTGTTGCACTCCTGAGCAAAGTACTTCCCTCAGGACTAAAATAAACGAGCACCACAAATTGGGCGCAAATGTAAATTGCTCTGGATTAAAGCGTCAGCCAGCTAAATCGGGGATATGCAGCATCTTGAGGGCACAAGTGGAAACTACATGGAAGTGAGTTAAAAACTGAGAATTGTCTTTACCCAGAGGGTTGCGGGAGTGTGAAATAGGCCACCCCGCCAAGCTGTTGAAGCTGTAACCCTGGCACCTTTCAATGAACGGCTGGATGGGATCCTCATCCCAACTACCAAGTGGTCTGAAAGTCTCCCTCTTGTTTGTAACCTTTCTGATGTTCTTATGCTGTGCTGCGGGATCCAGCCAGGACTCACGGTGCCACTTATAAAACCCACCTGCAGAGGTCCAAGAGTCACAACTGCAAACCAAGAAGAGCAACAATTTGCACAACAGACCTGGAAGTCGGGGGGAGGGGGGGGAACATGAGTGACGCCTCCAGATGGAAAAAACAAGTGTGCCTATGACATCATTTCCTGAAAGGGTCAAGCTACGACATAGTTAAGTCTTTACATTCACCACATTCAACTGAGGTGCTTCAAACTAACTTGCTGATTGATACAGGAAACCTGCATGACAGGTTCTGGGGTTCATACATCAGTGTATCTAGAATGTAATCATGCATGCGTACTGCACATTATATTCTTTCTGTAACTGCAGTGCAGGTCAACCCTGGTCCTGAAAAGGCACAGGTTAATTTTGATATTCTTTATGAAAGCTATAAGTACATTGTCACAGCTGTACTTAATTGGTCAGAATAACAATCGGGTTATTAGACTGAATTGATCAAAGGGGTAAAGATCAGACTTGCAGGACAGAGGCTGTACAGGTACAGGGATATGCTCTTCAGGTTTAATCGGTGTCGCCACTTCATTGTGCAGCAGAAAAATGACTCCAGCTGTTTTTAATTATACAGTATCTTAGTCACAGATTGCTTTTGGAAAAGAAGCTTTCCGTGCACTATGTCATTATTCTTCTCTGTTCTGTGGAGAAGTACTGTAAATTAGAATTATCCAGAGTCACATAGCCACACAATGGATCTTCTTGGGTTCAGTCGCTGGAGACCACCAGATAACTACAAGCGAAGCCCTGAAGAGTGGTAACTCCAGGCTCTGAGCTGCCAGATCATGTAAAGCTTAGATTGTGTTCTCAGAGACTGAACTCAAACTTCTAGTTGAAATAATGATTAAAAAAGGTTAAGCAACTGTCATCCAAGCCAAGGGAACTAGCCCCACACTGACCATTTTTTGTCTGATCCAAAAGTCAGGAGAAGGGAGAAACAATATCAAGAGGATGAACTAATTGCACAAGAAGGTCTTGTGCATTTGTAACAAGGAAACAGACAGAAAAATGCATTCTGCTGTCTTTGACTTTATGATGGAGTTTTTCAGAAACAGTAGCTTTTTTTCTAGAGCAGGATTATGCAGAATAGTCACAATACCACATTACCCCAGACAAACCAGAACAAATTCAACAAATGCAAGCACATTGAGAAAAATGATTTTCAGAACACAGCAAATTCTAAGCTTGAATTTGGGGTTCATGCTCAGAATAAAGAGCAGAGCCCTGCGGGTTATCAAGGCTGGCCTTGAGACGCCAAGTCTGATAGACAAGATGTTAACATTTCAGGTGAGAAAGGCTGAGTTTCTGTCTGAGAAGAAAATCATAACAAAATAAAAAGGCACGTTCTTGAGATTCCACATCACCATTGCTGCCTGTTGCCTCTGTCATAACAGAACAAGATATTGTCACTAAGTCATAACTGTGGAGGCCAAGGGATATCTGGATGTCTTTACTTTGATCATTCATGCAGCTGTGTTAGACCGGACGGTACCAAGCTGCAGCTTTGAGCTGAGTTTTAAGTCAATAACAGGAAGAGCATAGGCCATAAACAGTCCCAAGCAGGGGCAGGTCTCTGCCATGCCAAGCTGTGGCTTGACTGATATGTTACTGATAGCTCTATGAGCCATGGGATTCAGTCTTTATCAAGTCAACCCACCTTCTGCAGAAGCACAATCTGAACAAGCTTATGTTGCCGACGCATGCAAGTCTTTATTCCACAAACACGTGACCAAAATCTCAGAAGGAACAGTGAAACACGAACCGGGGAGCACACATGGAAATTGCGTGGAAGGGCATTAAAAACGGAGAACAGGAGGCACTTGGAACAGGCTACCCAGCCGTGCTGTTGGTGCTGACACCCTGGTTACTGTCAGAAGCGGCTGGATGAGACCTTTAACTATTAGCGACTTAATGGGCTCAAAATGGACTCAATGGGCCAGGTGGCCTGCTGTCGTATATAACATTTCTTATCTTCCTGTACACGAATGATCTCTGGGGGACTAAATTGGGGGAATTCATGGTGGGAATATTCATGGCCAGGTTTTCTCAATCAGAAAACTTCTGTAGTACACTTGTGCAGTTTTTTTTCCCAGTCATGTAGGAAGCCCATAACACAAAGTGATTTGTTTTCTCAGTGAACTGGGGTCTGTAAACAATTTCTGTGCTCAGCACACTCTATTTAACTCCTTCTGTTTATCAACAGTAAGGTGCTTTAATCATATTCCTGGGGATATTTTTTTTTCTGTAATTGGGAGATATGTGTAGCTGATGAGAGGCTTATTGGTGTTCACTCTACTACCTTCACAGATTAAAAAGAGACGTCAGGGTTTCTGGTTGGCAAAAAAAGCTTTTGCCTGCCCACACACTGGGTTGACACACATTGGGCAGCGCAGGGTCAGCTGTCTGGAACAGGGTTCCTTGGACTTCAGATGAGTGTACACCAAGTCAGCCAACGCCTGAAATCAAGAGAGAGAAAAAATCAGAATCCAGCTGTGTTCCAAACTCTTATCTTCTCAATATATGCTCGTTTAATACCCATCGGAATATTGGTAATAATCTCGGTCGATGACCACAGTTCAGAGTCTGGTTTTAAGCTTTCTGCCTTGTAACTGAAACCTAAACCGAGTTCCCATTTAAAAGTCAACAGAACATTTTTCAGAATGCTTTTTGCCTATCAGCAGTGTGTCAGTTTGGAAGAGTTGGTACCCTTTACTCACAAGCCGATATCTACAGTAATGCTGGTAAGGTAAAGTGGCTATCAAGAACTGTGGGTATGTAATATTCTTTTGGCAGAAATACATTTTTTTTAAAGTACAGCTCAAGGTAAAGTTCAGGAGACTTTTTGGCTTGAGGGCCTCGCTTTGAACCAAAGTTCAAAAGATGGAAGATGGAAAAAATGGCTGAACCAGGAGATACATTTTTTAACAAACCTCACAATAACACTGGCACACAAGTCAACCGCCTCATCTGCTTTTGCTCTAAAGCTGGTCAGAGACAGCAATGGCACACGTTTCCCCACCCCATTTCAAACTCTTCTGATTTTCATCAAGAGATACTTATAGCAATGGGATTAATGCTGATGAAGCTACTCTTTAACATGATTTTCTCCTTAGGAGACCTGGCGGTATTTGTGTTTTTGTTGGATTCATTGGCCGCTAATTCGATCAAGGGCTTCGCCTGACGTCACCCCCTTTGAGAGCGCAGCTCAAGCTCGGAGTCAGCTGAAACTCAGACACTGATGTAGAGGCTTCATGATAAAACTTGCAAGCTGGCTGTTACTTTTTATAACTGCTTGTGTTTTAACCTTAGGAGAGCAAATGTGTTTATTGATACAAGTTTCCAGGAAAATCTTGTAGACCATGGAGGGCAACTCCTTCTTCATGGAATTAATCGTTGACCATTAGAAGACAGAGGGACAGCTTCATACTGAAGCGAAATAAAACCTTAAATGCAAAGGGGGGCAGGAAAAACTGAAACGTCTCTGCCTTTTGTTAGGTTTCTTTCACAAAAAAAACTTTATTCCTTAACTGCATTGAACTACCTTGGCAGAACTGTCCAAAGCACAAATTTGTTAATGTATACTCAGAGTATGCTTGACACCAGTAATGTATACTTGTTAATGTATACTCAGAGTATGCTTGACACCAGTAAAATTAACATTTACTTAAGTGTTTTTGCCCCCAGAAAAGGCAAGAAAGTACGAGATATGATAATGGGTGAGCAAATTGTCATTTAATTCCAACAAAGAATTAAAAAAAACCAGCTGGAAACAATGGAATAGGTATACCAAAATTACCAAACGTGCTTCACGGCTTCAAACGTGAAAGTAACTGCTCAGAGTGCTGGCTGAGCCTAGATATCACCCTTTAAACCTGGAATACTGTATGTCATTTACTGACTATGAGAAGAACTCCTGAAGAAGCAGTGGTGGAGTGCAACTAAGACTGAGAGGACTTGAGTTGACTCAGCTCTTCGCCTCCCGGAGCTCACAGTGTGCAGAATTACACACTTGACAAACACACAGCTCCAGTTCCTCATTCCCCTTTCCTGTTAAAGAGATGAGCTGAACAGAGGAAGAGACTGGTGACTGCAGCTAACCAGGGAGGGTATTTATGCCTAAGATCTCTACCGCTTAAAAAAGGGGATTCAGAAGAAAAAAGGTGGTGGCTTTCAAAAAAATATACTTCAGTTATTACCCATTGCTATCCCATCTTTTTTGTAAATGCATGTAAAAAATAACACACGACTGCAACGAGATTATTCAATGTGAATCACATAATATGGCCACTACTTGGAAGTGTGCAACTGCAAATGATTTTCACAATCAATATAATACCATGAGATTTGATTTTGCATTAATTTTTCTCGAACTTGTTGTAGAGGCTATAATGTGCGCAGGTCACATTAAACAGCTATTGGCAAGTCCTAGTTGGTTGATACAAGATAGCAAAAATAATCACAGAATCTACACCCGCATCTAATAAGCAAAAAAAATATGGACCATTATCTTCTCAAAACAGATGGTGAAAAATGACAATACTTACATGAGAAATTATATGAGCACCATCCTTCTTCCACTTTTAAAATCTGGTTTGCTTACAGGCCATCTTAGGGTATGTTCTGTACAATTCAATTTGTGATATTCTATATAATTATGACCAGTGCTCAGAATGGGCTAAAGCACCAGCAGCATACATTGACACACTTCAGAATATTTTAACTAAAAGGAACATCAGTAATTTTTGTACTTGCACATCTGCTAACAGAACATTTTACTTAATAAAAAAGAAGTACTATCAAAAGTAGGGCAAAGAAAAAGACTCCTAAGAGGATGCCACACTTTCTTGGCACTTTTTATTATAAACCTACTGCTTTCCTTTCCATGACTTTAAAACCCTGTCAGGTACCTGTGGAGCCTGATATTAAACAGTCTCATATTATGAATGCTGAAGGCGGTACGAATATCAGCACAAACAATTAACAATTTCCACCTCCTTAAAATTATTTTGATTGAAATTAATTTTTTGGTATATATTATTTAAGCAGAAAGCCTTCTTAATAAGAACACAAACAATGGCTTAATCACAAACAGCTTAAATAAAATAAACAGGGAAAACTTTCTGGTTTCTATCTTTCCTTTGCACGTATGCCACAAAAAGGTCAGAATTAGTTAAATGCGCCCCCTTCTAGTTTCCTAATGAAACCTCTGAATTTCCATGTCATGAAAATAACTGCCAGTATTTCAGAGAAGGACTCCTGAAAGTTGTCAGTTTCAAAGCACAGGGGAAGCAAATCTGTACTGTGCCTTTGTACAACACAGATGTCCTCTACCATATACTGTAGCTTGTTTGAGAAGTCCTGTCAGAAGTTGCTTTTGCTGGTCACATTAGTAAGTATAGAACATCTATGCAAAAACCAAATTATAACTCAAACAGTAAAGCAGCTAGAACACAATAAAAACCATAAAAAGGTAATTTCCCCATCAGCTCATCCCTAATCCTGGTTTTCTCTAAGGCTGAGTGGACTGGAGGAGCACATATCCCCAGCGATGCTGGTACTCATTTATACAGCTGGATATACTGGAGCTGCTGGCTCAAAATACAACTGTTCCACCTCAGGGACTTGAACCTGCAAACCACCTTGTATGACCAGAGACTTAACCACTATGAAACACTGCCAACACAACAAAAAAGAAACGCAAGGGAACAGTCTATTTTTTCTGCATAATGAGTAAACAAAGTTGACAGTTTCTGTCAACCAAGGACAAACACTAACTTTACCTGGCATGGGCATATTCATGCTTTTACAGAGTTTCCAAACTTTTCGGAATTGCACAACTCAATTTGCAAGCTATTGCACTTTATCAGATTTTTAAATGACTGTACATTATTTTAATGCATTTTGGGACAGCCATGACCTGTACAACATAAAAATGGTCCCCAGACTAAGAGTAAGCATCTTACAATCGTCCATAAAGTCATGCTGAAGGCAATATAAACCAGACAATTTACAATTATCCTCAGTGGGCAGACAGAACTGCAGAGTAGTTGTTTCCATCAGTGAAGGAAGCTGTACAGCAGACAATTACACAATTAACTTGCTACTAATTGCCTGGACACCAGCACTGATGAGGGTTCTTTCCTGAGAGAGAGGTTTGAGTTTAACTTTTTTTTTTTGAGGAAGCTCATAATATATTAATACACAATGTCAGCACAAGACAAACAAATGATCACTCCACCCCCCCCAGGATATAGAAATAAAAGAAACTTTCTGGAGCCACAGGAATACTGCCTTCAGAAACCATAAATTGTAGAGGGAGGTTGTCTGCTGCTAACTGTATAATGCATACCTTAAAGAAGAGAGGGTTTCCATTTAGTGACTCAGCTCTTCTGATGTTTTCCACACCACACTGCAACAGAGAGAAATGTTTTTTGTTCAGGTGAATAAATGCGAAACAGAGGCACATTACTATGACTCATAAAGATTCAATGTTTTTTTTTTTAAGCGTTTGCTCTTCTTCCAACAAACAGGGATTCGGCAACAAGGCGAAACCAGAGCAAAACACCTCCATCTAGAAACGACCATTCAGCAGTTTAAGATTAACCAAAATGCAAACACTCCAGTTGTCAACATGCAGAGAAAAACCAACAATTGAAAGTTACATCATGACTCTGCTTTTGCTAGTCAGTACTTGAGCAACTGAAATTTCCAACCTTTACTTGAAGTACATAATTTGTCATGTTATTTCATTTCTCGTCTCATGTTTCACTGCATTCTTAACTTTTCTCTACCTGTTTACACAGATGTAGTCCTGCCCTTTTCTAATGTGTGGCTCGTTATAGTACAGGATTTGTTAGAACTTGCTAAATGGTAAAAATGGCTCCCACTTCCCACATAATGTAATTTGACTCAAATGTTTCAGATAAACAGTATGAAATAGAAGCAGAAATCTTTGAAAATGGAATGCACGATGCAGATCAGGGTGGAAAAACATGAAACCAGAGCAGCAGTTTTAAAAGATTATTATATTGCTTGGATGTCTAACAGACAAGGCAAAAAAAAAAAAGTTCTTTTTTTTTTGGTAAGACGGGAGTCCAAAGAGGGCTACATGAGTTGAAAAAGGCACTGCGTTGAAGAAAGTGAACTAGTCTCTGTCTTACTTGTTTGGTTTCTGGAGGACTATTAGACTTTGTACCATAGCATAGAACTTTAACGGGCCCTGAGGAGATCAAGCTGCTTTTATAGCACAGGGGAACTGTTGTGCTCTCACACAAACCATGCCTTTAAGTGGGTTTTTTCTACATGTGTAAAGTAAGCATAATCTGAAGCTGCAAAATCATTTGTGGGACATTTTTTACAGTAGTACTATACATCTCAAGGGCATCAGTACAGTGGCGCAGTATTTAGCATCCAATTCCGGACCTGGGGTGCCATCTTTGTGGAGTTTTTATGTTCTCCCCGAGTTTGTGTGGGTTTCCTCTGGGTTACTCCGGTTTCTTCCCACAGTCCAAAGACTTACTGGCAGGTTAACTGGCTTCTGGGAAAATGGTCTCTGGAATGAGTGCATGTGTCTGTGTCTGTGTGTGTCCCCCGAGATGGACTGGATCGTCCCATCCAGAGTGTTTCCTGCATTGTGCCCACAGCTTGTCAGGACAGGCTCCAGCTCCCCCATAACCCTGTATTGGATAAAGCTGTTAGAAAATGGATGCATGCACTTATTACCGGAAACACTTCATAACTAAAAGCTCTTGCATGCATCTGCTGAACATACTGACTAGTACTATGCAGTACTCGAATGATGTTGTCCTGAATTACATCCGATGCAGTTAAACTCTAAAACTTCTACTAATTGCTCAGTTGATGTTTTCACACTGTATCCGTTTGCGTTGTAATTGTAGATCTCCTTCTCCTGTGCTTTGCGCAGAGCAAAACTAACTGAATAATTGAGCAATCAGTAGTACACCAGCTTTGAAACACCTGTTCCCTGTGCAGGGGAATAATGCACTGAGGAATAACGCACAGAGAGGAATAATGCACAGAGCTGGAGAGAGGAGGCTGGAACTACAGCAGACATTTCTCACTGCAAATGCCACATATATGAAAAGAAGGAAAACCTTCACATGTTTTGTAACTCTCAATTTGCTTTGCCTCTTCTTCTTGTGTTTGATCTTCTTTTGTGCTTTTGACAAGCGGTACAAAGTGCTTTAACAAAAGTTAAATCAGTCATCAAATTTGTTACTTTGTTACAAGTATTTCCATGAAAATTCCAAAGGTATATTTGGTTGATTGGTCTGCCCATGGAAAGTTTCTCACTTGCGTTAAAGATTTTGTTTGTGTGCAAAAATGTAAGAGGAAGAAAATCAGAAAGGAGCAAACCTCAAAACTGACTCGGACAAGCAAAAGAAAATCTGCAACAAAAAATTTTACATCACTGTAATTTACAGGGGTAAAACTCATTGTCTGGAGGGCCTAGTACCTAGCTTTGTTCCAACCTCAGAACTCAATTAAACAATTAAACTCACTTCATTGTCAGATATACATATGGAATGTTTTTTAAGGTCTTTTACTGATGATTACTTAAAACATTTACTTCATTTAAGATTTACCAAGATTTATCAGACCTTGGGTACAAGTATTACACTTATGCAAACAATTAGGCCAACCAACCATGTATTTGATAGCTTGGTTGGAACAAAAACCAGGAGATACTGGAATCTCCAGGAATTTACTTTAAGGCCCCTGCATATTTTAAATGTATTTCAGTCAATGTACCGTATGTTGAAGCAAGACATACATGACCTATAAAGCGCCTGTTCTTGGACTGCAAGAACACACAGTCTATCCATTACAAACCAAGCATGAATCATTATAATTTTGTACAAATTGTGTACTAAATGTATGTCCTTGCTTTTTATATTATTTCTAATTTCTATTATATAACATTTCACCATGAAATGTGTGGTGTACACTTTATAAACTATAGGAACTATAGTTAACACAGGGTGTTAATCTGGCTTGAGGGCATTTTAAATAATAAGAAGGATGACAACTTCCGACAAAGAGAAACAAAATTGTGCATTGAAATGTTCTACAGACACGCACTGTCCGCTTGGAGCAGGGGCTCAGAGGGCAGCTTGGCTCAAACAGTTAAATCTGCGAGGCAGCGGAGGATGGCAGCTAATATTACAAAAGAGAAAACACAGAACATTTGACAGGATCTGCACCAAGTCGGATATAACGGGAAGAGGCAGATGATATCAGCTCCCGCCGTGGCAAGGAGAGCTTTTTATTTAAAGCCTTCCGAGTGCAGTTCTCTGAAAAGCGTTCAGCAGTTCCCCACAACGGGGGGTATCACATTTTTAGCACACCTCAGAACGACAGATTCCAATAGCTTCGGGACAGAGCTTTGCAGTTCTCCTCGGTCCCATGGAAGAAATCAATGGGAGCCTGGTGGCAGCGGTGCCGCTTGGCACCACTCAAATGGATTTGTGGTCGGTGTGGAGCCCCTGGGCGTGTGGGTTAGGGGGTCAGCCTCTGGGCAGGGCTGCCTCAGTCTAGACGCCGAGCTCAGAGAAGTGCTCTCTCCCCTCAGCACTGGCACCACTCTGGGAGATGAGATCGCTTCCTGCTGACCTGTGAAAAATTAATCTCTTCGGAGACGAACTCTGTCTGCTCCCCGCACAGAGACTGCCAATGCTGCAGCGAGCCAGGGAGTTTACAGAGGACCCTTTCTTATCCGCCCCCCCCCCGCTTCAAGGGCTTCTCGGAAATCTTTCATTCATCGAGCAGTCCTTGAAATAATCCGCGGAGCGAGCAGCCCTTGGAATAACTGGACAGACAGCACCATTTCCCCATCTCTCCGACAGTACAACACAACCAGTCGTATTTTTGTTGCTGTTCCTATGAAGCCTTTGTTGGAAAGAACAGCTCACTGTGAAAAAAATATTCTATCATATGTCATTACAGTGACATTTTTTTACAGAGCCTGTACAAGACACTGTGCACCATTTCATCCATACTGCTGATCTCGTGATCCTGCCGCGGTGACAGCGTCCTATCAAAATCCGCAGCTGAGCCACAGCTGCGTGATATTTAGGAGTCATTACGGCTTAAATGAAGCAGTTAAGCAGAATTCCAATCAAACAAAACTGTAACCTAATTGTCTGAAAGCTACTTAGCAGATAAACCTTTAGTTTACATATTATCGGCAACTAAATGCACGGCAAAAGATTGCTGAAACTGTTTTAAGTGGTGCGCAGTCTTTAATTGTAGATTGCTTTGGCTTGGTCAAAGGAGTTTATTACAATCTGCAGTATGTGTAAAAATAAGATGTACTGCATCTTTCCTTTCAAGCAAGAGAAATATTTTTCTCTTCCATAAGTAATGTAGTCTTTCTTCAATATCCCCTGAACCATCCGAGTCAAACCAGGAGGGAAACAGGCCAGAAATTAATGTTTTGTATTCACAAACACTTTTTTGTAACTCCTTAAAAGCTGCCTTAAGAGACTCATTGTACTGCAATAACAAGATTCATTGGTTCACACCAGGTTGAACCACAAACGACAGAGTAGCAGGACAGTCCAGTGTGACATACTGAGTGTGTCCATTGCGAGATAAAATCAGAACATAACATTTAAAATCGGGCAGGGCAGAAAGAGACAAGCTAATAAAAAGACCACCCAAACAAAGCACTCACCTCCTCCCCTAGCACCTGGGAATACTCAATATCCAGCTCGTGTAGTGTCTCAATGTGGTCACTGGTGAAGGCAATAGGTACCAACATGATGTTCTTTTTTCCTCTCTGACACAGGCCTTTAATGGTATCATCTGTCTGAGGACCTAGCCAAGGCATTGGGCCAACCTAGGGCATGAAAGAAGATGAGGCATTGACTTGTTAGCATTGTATTTCATATACAGTAGCCCGAAGTATAACTCCAAGTTGATTCAGCTTGAGTATCTTCTATTAAACACAATATTTTCTGCTACAGATAAGCCTAAAACTGTACGCAATGCAGTGTTTAGCATTGCTGACCTGCAGTGTCGAGGCCCTGGGTTCATTTCCTGGAGGAGTGGAGTTTGTATGTTCTCCCCATTTGGGTTTTTGCCAAGTGGTCCAGTTTCCTCCCACAGTCCAAAGATATACTGGTAGGTTAGCTGGCTTCTGGGAAGAGTCTGGGCCCTGGTGCGAGTGTGTGCATGTCTGTGGTTGTCTGTGCGTGCCCTGTGATGGACTGGTGTTCTGTCCTAGATGGAACGCTCTTTGTGCCTGTTGCTTAGGCTCCCAGTTCAGGCTCTGGCTCCCCCATGACCCTGAACTGACGTGGTTAAACATAAGTCTAATAAGTCTGGATAAGTCTAAAACTAAAGCCATTTGTCTTCTCATTCAATCCCCAGCAATCAATGTTTTGCCCATCGTTCTTTGGCTGAAATAAAGTCAAAAAGGTGCTTCCTGTGGCGCTTGAAGCTTTCCAGTTCCTGAAGGTTATATGGCCTGTTCTTGTGATCTGTTTTCTTCAGCTCATACCACAAATGTTTTACTAGAGACGGTGAAGACAGAAGAGTGAATTTTACACACAATTTGGCAATTGAGCCGATGTAGGCTTTGCTTTGTTATCCTGTTGAGAAAGATGCCCACAAACAACCCTGAGCTCAATGACTTGCTTTTTTTTTTTTACCAGAGCAGACCACGAAACTTTGGAATAGTCTTAACTAGAACAGAAGGACAGCGGGACCAGAGGATAAACACTTACGCTAAAGCAGAACAGGTCCATTTTGTTTCTTCACCGAAGGGAGGACGTTCTTTTTCAACCTTCACTTTGTGTGCTAATCACACTGCTGGCAGAAGTGTCCAAACACTCTGTCTGTGCTTCCTTCAGCTTCTCCATTTGGTCCAGTTTGACCTGGGAGTCAATTAGCTGCTAGCTGACAAATTTGCATCCTTTCTTTTTATGTTGTCATGGAACTCTGCTGCAAACACCAGATTCATGAAGCCAACCTCGATTGGTAGTCATGGAGACTTTGTATCCTGTTGAGTTTTTAAAGACTCACAGGTGTTGCCCTTGGCAGTGAGCTAGCCTCCCAAACCCCTGTGATGATTGCACATTATGCGTAACATTTTCTTACATTCTCTACTGTACAACATGTATTTCTCTTCCTGGTAGGGTAACATCCTATCAGTCTGGAGTTTTTTTCTTTTAATGATGGTGACTGCAGAAGAAAGTGGAATGTCCTATAGTTTTTTCTTACAGCTGTTACCACAGTTGTTGAGGTAAATAATCTTTTACACTAGATCTGACTTTTCCCAATTGTCAGAGAATTGTATTGAATGTTTTGCTTCGGTTTGGTTCCTTTAATACTATAAACTACAAGTGATAATCTAGGTGCTTATATGAACATTTTGATGCTTTGTAAAGCAACATTAGAGAATTAGAATCACAACATGTTCTAACATTTTTTACAGAGCATGAATAAATCTTAATGAATATTTACAAATATGGAACAATTTATTTTACAATTACGTTATTAATATATTCAATACAAAATTTTAATACACTACATATATTTCATTTCGTATTTCAGAACTGTGAATATTCTTTATTTGCACCTGTCTTTTTTATTACTAAATCAGGTTTTAGTTAAAGTTCACCAATAAATGTCTAGGCTTCTGTCTCTCACAGGGAACTGTATTAAGAAATATAATTTGTCATTTTCTATTTCTTTATTACTAACTCATGAACATGTTGTTATACAGAATATACTATTTTTGACTTAACCATATCGTTTCTGCTTGGGTATTTGTTTTCCATGTTTACCAGCTGCACATTTTAATGCCCAGAAGCTTACAAAAAATCTTATAAAACCCAAATTACCAAAACTGCCACAAACAGATTGTCACTCAATTGTTACTCTGTACATTTGAGCAACAATATCTGTGAGGTGTTTTCAGAATATATTTTTTATCGAATTATTAATTAAGACGGCAACAATATAACCAGAACATATTCACCGAGATGTGCAACTAGAAGTTAAACAATGAGAAAATCCACATGACAGAAATGACTTCCTAGTATATTAAGATACAAAGGTGATCACAGTTATTAAAATAGGGTAACGAATCAAAATAATCCACCCCTTTTGGGAAGCAATGTGGAAGGCTATTCTGAACACGGACTCTGAACATATTGTAACTTGCAAGGTGTAGTTTTAGAGACTCCCGCAAGTAGAGTGTTATCCTGAGAAATCTACCGAATCTAAAAACTAGAAACATGAATCCCGTTGTGTCCTGACCGATACAGTCAGTATAGAAAGCGTCCTGCTAGTGTTTATGGGCCTTTAAATCATTCTGTCTGTGAGGTTTAAATATCCAACCCGCATGGGAAGTCACTTCCCTTCTGCATGGATACATTGGAACGAAACTCAAGCACGTTGAGATTTTGCGAACGGTGATCAGAGGGCATACCCCTGCATCAAACGAAAGCAAATGACGAGGACGTCTTGAAAAGCATTTTGAAAAGAGTGTTGCAAGGCTGCAATCTTTACAGGATGTGGACAGTGAGAAAATGTGTGGACACAGATTACATAAACAGCAGCAGCAAGAAACAGAAACGCCCATTGTGACATCTTCTGTGAGCACAGTCATTCCAATGAATGATTCTGATCCAGCTGCCTGATTGATTCAGGTGAACTCTGACAGCACCGACTTAATATTGGTCATCATCTAGGGCCCAAAGGGGACAAGTTGTCCCCTTTGGGCCTTAGTAACCTTAGGTTACTAAGAAGTCTCGTTTAAGGAAAGAAAAAAAAAACAATTTTCTAAAAGCTGGAGATAATGAAAGGAAAACATAGGTGGGGTCTTTTTTTCTGTTTGCTAAGAAACCCATAAAAGATACTTTTGGTCTTGGTTTCCTTCAGGGAGGTACTACACAGTTCTTGTTCTTCAGCCAGACTTAAAAAGTACTGAGTAGCTTTACGCAACTGCATGATGGGTCTGTTTAATGTTTTAATAAGTTAATAATTTATTTATGAAAGCGGTTTTGGCTGGCTTGATTTCTCCATGATTATCTACGGAAGGCCTCCCTTTAACTACTTCCATAGTTGAAGAGTAAATGCAAAGTGTTTTGAAATAACCACTAGATGGCACTGGTGAGCTTCTCTGTGCGGTTTAGCTCTTCTGTCCACTAACGGACTAGAATAACCTGACAACAGGATACACTGGCTATTTATTACCACTTTGGGCCAAATTGTCAATGCAATCTATTTACATCTATTTACACAGAGATAGGGTATTGGGGCACATCATCACAGAGGCAATTTATATCTTATAAACAATGAGACAGCTAACATCCTTTCAAAACAACAACAAAGCACGACAATCTAGACTATAACTGACTATAAAGAAGGTATAATTAATTACTTAAGCAAAAACTGACACATTTTATAGAGATGCATACAGACAGTACTGCATGATGGGTCCTACATGATATTATTACTTAATAATAGTAAATAATAATAATTTATTTGTTGACAATTATAAAATCCCTGTGCTTTTTCTGTCTTCTCTATACAGCAAGGGTAGGACCTAATTCAGAACCTCATAATTGTTTTTAAGTATTTTACCAGCAGTTAAATCCCCGAGTCCAGATCTAAACTCTCATTTTTAAAACCTCATTCAATAATAACAGCTATGTTGTTTAACAGCGAGGATAAAAAGAAAAATCTGAATTTGCATTGGTTTTCTACTGAGGTGTTACGCACATATCGGTGGATTACAGATTCTTTTCAGCGCAGTAAAAAAGTATTTGGACAGGTTGGTCTGAGATACAGTGTCGGTATTCAAAACCCTGATCCCACCCACACCTTATGCTTCAGCTCAGTTCGAAAAGAGAAGCAAAGGGGTTTCAGGGTCTTAAAGCACTAAGTTTTGCATGAGCAGGTGCCTCAAGTCCTGTCCTTGACCTTTCATGTGATCTTATGTTCACAAGTATCTCTCCTAATTACCCCACCTGTGAGAAGACTTTCAAGGCGCCGGGTGTTGATTTACCTTGGACTGCCACACCAGGCGATAGGGGTTGCAGTGCTTCAGCCTCTCCATGACTCTCTGTACTGTGGCACCCACTTCTTGAGGGTAGGGGTCCCCTCGATTCACTACCTGGAGAGACAGAGTCCACAGAGCCATTCAATTTAGCAACCCACCAGATCCCAAAATATAGAACCTACTGCACAGGGCTTTAAAGACTGAAACTTTACAAATTCCAGCAGAATGCCCTCCTTCCCCCAGCTGGAAATTTGCAAATACCAGGGAGTTCCATCTGGACAAATCTCTCTTGCACAAGTACTGTATTAATACAAGACAGTGGTGTGTATTTCCTCTACTTATAATCTCTCAGCATTTTCTTTCACTGTTGTTCCTAGCAATGAAGGAAGATTGATTTAAACTGTTATAATTATCATCTCTAAATACAACACTCTGTTGGTTTAACGAATAATATAATGAAAAATGTGTTGTAAAAATGAATTAACTCACTTTGATCATAGTTGTCTAGTAATTTCCAGTGTAAAGTATTAAAACAAAACAATGTGTTCAGTTACCACTCTAGGGACATATACAGCAGATGTTGATGGAGCTTGGACAATTATAAGCATTAAAAGATAAAGTAAAGAAAAAAAAATATCTTTGCCATTTCCTTGAAGAAGGTAGCGGACAGAATGCTGTTAAAGAATCAGGAGAAAAACGTTTCTACAGAAATGTAATCAAGTAAATAGACCTTGTACTCACAGACATGGGGAGCGAATGAGCAGAGAAGAGAATAACCACATCGTCCCTCTTCTCGGCAGGGAAGGCGTCCAGTTCTTTTTTAATGTGCTCTGCAAAACACTGAAGAGAAAAAACAACTGCAGGCTTGCACCCTTGACCAAACTACCAGACAAATTTGCAAGCGATGGAATTAACTGGGGTTTCATTGAACCAATGATAAATAAGCATCAAAATTAATACATGAAATAACTGTCTGGCAACATATAATTTTCTGTATTGTTTCAACATTTCACCAGAATGTATAAGCACTCTTGGTGCAAGGTGACTAAAGAGCTCTGCATGCTAAAGGTATCTGACCTCTGTTCGTGAATATTCTCAATCTCTCAATCTCTCGACACAAGAGATTTAGCTGCATTTAGCTGTGTTCTTGAGATTCCATTTTCCAATTATTTTGTCTGTCTGTCGTTTGAAAGGTCAGCTCCTACTGTGTACGTCACTTCCTGTGATGAAGACCACGTACCGTACGTGTAATACTTCATGGCTTGGACTGGTGGACTTGGATCACATGATCTGGGGTTTTAGAAGCCCACCTGTGCCTGAGCCAAGGAAGTGAAGACAAGGGAAACAGCTGAAGACAAGACTACAGCTAGAAGGGACTGCGGGCTTTGGGGAAACTACATGAACACCTCTTCTGCTTCACAGGGGAACAGGTAATATTCTCTCCTGTGGGTACTGTGGAGCTTACGTGTGGTGGTATATAGTGTAGTACTGTATATAGTGTATTATTATTGTTTTTCTCCTAGTCTGTAGTGATTAAAAGAAGGTTTTACTCATTATGGTTTGGGCTTCTGTGTTTCAAATCATCTTTAAAAGGTCAACGCACCCTTAAATATAAAGCATATTTAAGTGGTAACAGTTTAATTAACACATTTCTCCAGCCACCCCTAAAATTGGAAAGACTGCTCAGAACCCTGAAGCACAGGCAGGCTTCTTCAGGCTTCTTCACAGAGTCAAGACAGCACATACTGTAGGTGTACGACAGCCACGGGAAGAACCACCAGCAAAAGTAAAACCTCAGACCATCAATACATCAGTCCACTGCAGATCACGGTTGAGCGACAAAAATCAACGGGGATATCAGAACCTGCAGAAATCTCTATTTATTGCAGAATGGACCTTGTCTGCTTGTACACCTTTTCCTAGATGTGTAAAACCAGTGTCCAGAGGTAGAGGGTGACACTGCAGGGGGTTAAGTGGAGGTAAGTGAGGTGATCATGCAGCTGAAAGTCACCTGGGGCAGGTTAAGTGTTAGGCCAATGTTTTTCTTAGAGATGAAAAACACCAGATAAAGGCCCATTTTTTTCCTAATGCGAGATCATTTAAGTCCCTGAATTACATTTTAAATAGCTTTTTTTTTTGTTATTTGAGAGTTCTCGTCTTCTTTCAGCAAAAAAAAAAAGGGCGTCTATTTTCAAACCTCAGTGTATCTCCCTCTCAAATAATGATCATTATCTCCAAGGTTGGCTCAATTATGCAGAGTTAATGGCATTTGGTGAACCACATTTAAAAACTATGTCTCATAACCCCATAATTAAGTCTGCAATTTAAGCATGAATTTTCCTCTAAATTTCACGGCTCATTTACAGCTGAAAACTTATTATATTGCAGAAAAATAATGTAAAGAACTACTATATAAGAAATCCTTCCGTTAACCTTATTCTACACAAATATGCAAATCGCGACATATTACAAGGCTATGGTGCATGACTATTATAAATTAAATACGTATAGCATAATTATAATACTGTTTATTTTCTTATCGCTAAGAACAAGGACTAAAATTGTGATATACTAATCAGGCATTATTCTACAGCTAATCTTGTGTTCTATATGTTTTTTCAACAAGAATGGAAGACCAAAGTGCTCAATTTTAGTTCCTATCTCTTTCTAATTTAGTACACTCTCAAGATTTGTTTTGCACAGAATAATTACAAACACAAAATTCCAGCCACATGTATGATTTATGTTACTATGGTTACCATAGTCCTCCAAGTAAACTTCGAAGATCATCTCATGCCCAGAAAAAAGAAAATCAACCAAATGCTCTACATTTATTTAAAAGCTTCCTTCTATCCATAAGCTCAACAGCAGGGGTTGTGAACACTGCTAAAGAATTATATGAAAGTATTTTTTTTCTTGGAACATATTTGCTTCTTTGTGATAGATGATGTAGTTTAATTAGTCTTAAATGAAAGACAAGTGTTTTAAGTAATTAGAAGCAAATGAGACAGCCAGTTATTTCATACAGTGCCTCACACGGTTGTTTCAACTGCTCTTTCCTGATTTGGGGGGAGGCTGTATTTACTAAAAAGAGACAGAACAAGAACTCTGTCACTCTGATATTGTGCTGTGTCTTCCAGCAGAAGGAACCTACTGTATGCCTGTTAGGAGTTAACATTTAGGTCCTCAAGAACTGTTTAACTGTTCTGTACACTCCCTGCTGGCCAAGTTTTCTTCAAGGTCTCTTGAGTGGAGGTGTAGCTCATCTATTCTACATGTGATTTAGTAACATGAAAGGGAATAGGGTCTTAGCTGATTAGGGACTTGGTTAACTGCCCAATGGTGACCTAACTGCCTTACTTACTGACCTTGATTACACCTCATATGGTAAGAAACTGCTACTGACCAATCATAAAAATATACTATATGTGTTTTGTATAAATTTCTTTGTCTCATCTTCACACATAAATGCCTGTTTCTGTCCTTAAGAAAGTGAGTGAGAGACACGTTTAACCTATTAACTTAGACTGTCCTCCTTTCTTTCTTGCAAT